TCACATATTCATACGTCTCGATGTCTCGATGATCAATTAGAGGGATTTCTAATATCAAAACAGCCTTTTCCTATGCGTCCAAACCCGCATATGTAGAAATGTGGCCCATTAATAAATCTATTTTTGAGATGGATTTTTTTACTTAATTTTAAAGGGCATGTAATCTCTAACATGGAGATCATGAATATGAATAAATAAATAAATTTTAAGAACTAGAAATAATAATTCAAGTAAGAAAACATTTGGACTGTTAGTTTCCATTGTTTTGCATCCGTCTTTAAGATGGATGCTTTACACTTCTTGGACAGCATATGTAGTCATGCGGTCCTGCTCGCATGAAACATATATATATATATATATATATATATATATATATAGAGAGAGAGAGAGAGAGAACGAAAAAATGTGAAGCAATTTACACAAACCTGAGATGTAGAGTACGAATTATGATCCTTATCTTGCTCACACTTTCCGGTTTGATCACACTTCTCGTCAAGAATATTCAAGAGCTGTAAACAATTTACTATTAAATGATGATTCATATGGCACACTAAAAGATTGAGACAGAAGAAAACAAGAAATGAGTCTGTGTCAAATATCAATCTCAGAGCACCAGACTTGACTCACCTGATTCCGCAGATGAGATATTTCTGCTAGAAGTATGTCTCTCTCTCCTTCTTGATAAAAGTCCTGAAACCTACATGTATGAAAGTAGGATAAAGCACCAATCCAGAAAATGAATGTACACATGTATAAGGCAACCAATGTTGGGTTCCAGTCTTTGTCCACTAATGTCCCAGTATTTCAATGAAAAGTGATGACCTCAATGTACTATAGCTACACAATCCATCAGATGATAGTATATTTTTCCAACAGAATATGGCAAGAATGAGGTACATCTAGTTTAAATATTTGAAGTGCTAGCAGAAGCAACTACAAGATACCTCCTAAGTTGTTCGAGAAGCCTGATATTTTCCATAGCGAAACGGGTAATTTCTGGGTTTCTATCTACTCGGGTCCGAAGCAACTGGATTTCTTCATTTAAAGCATTATTTTCCTCCTGTAAATATGAATCTGCAGGAATTAACTCATCTACAAGCATCTCCATCCTGCGAATTTTATCCTCTCGAAACCTGAGCATCATTTTGGAACCACGGCTCTCTTCCTCTCTTTGACGAACCTGCTAGCCAATAGCACCAGCAGACTTCAATTAAATGCATTCTCACCAAAGAATGTAGAATGGTAGAATTGTTGGGGGTAGTAACCACATTTATAGATCTTCCACCCATCAAAAGGTTTCATCTGTTTATCAACTATACGAAAAAAAACTTGATGATATCCTGAGGCCCAAAAGGATATGGATAAAAATAGTGAGAAAAGATATGGTGACTTTTAGTCTCACTAAGGGTATGGCCCTTGATAGAGAATAATGGAGGATCAGGAATCATGTAGCCGACCCCAAATCATTGGGATAAGGCTAAAACGATGATGATGATTTTTATCACTTTTAATATATTCATGAAACTGTGAAATCATGACTTAAATTTATAATAGATGCCTAGTTTTAGCCTCATTATTGTAAAAACCCTTAAATGATGCACAAAGTATCACATAAATAAATAGGAGTGCCTAGCCTAATCCTAATCTTAGTCATGAAGATAACCAAATGGACATAAACTTCACATTTCACAATATTCATATTACAAAAATCTCTTCCGAATTCAAATGTTTAACGTGGCCTCTAGTCAAACATATAATATGGCCAGGAAAATCCTCAGAATTACCAGGCGGTTTAGCTGTTCAATTTCGGCTTCTAATTGTTTGGTTACATTCTCTGCCATTTGTTCCCTTCGGAGAGCCCCAGTTAACGTAGCTTCCAATGACTTCAACTGCAAAATGAAAGATAATGTTAGCTGATCCATCAAACGATATTAAACTACGATGTTACTCAGAAGCAACCAGTGTTTTAAAATGCGGGATGCCATCAAAAGCGGTGGGGGGGCCGATACGGCCCAGATGCGGGTGCATCGCGACGATGCGGTAAATAAATGTAAAAAAATTCTAAAAAATCTAAAAACATAGGTTAATGCATAGAAAAAAATATGGAGGTGATATATGTGATAGTAGTTATTTTAGTTTAATGATTAACCTCAAAATTATTAGTTGTCAGAGATTTTATATCCAGTTATCCATAATCCCCTGATAGAAACTAAAAACTTGGAGCTAGATTCATGAAACATTCAACAATCAACAACCATAAGCACAAATTTGCACTATAAGCACAACCATAAGCACAAAAGTACAATCATCAACAACCATAAGCACAACCATCCATAAGCATAAAATAGTGATATTACAAACCATAAGTCAAGCTCAAGAAGAGTTAATAATTAGTAACTTAATACAATCATCCATTTTGAGAGTCAATTTTGAAATTTGAAGTTAATTTTTCAAATATCAAACAACTGCCAAATCGAAGATTTGAATGAAAAATAAATTTGTCAAAAAACATTTTCCCCCGATTTGATGCAAAAAAAGCCACAAAAGTGGATGAAAATTATCGTTTAGGGGCTTTAATAGCCCCCCAAACAGTTTCCCCCATTTTAGGATATCAAAAAGACCATTTTGCCCCTCCCCAAGGGGCAAAATGGAAAAAAATTTCGGCAGAAGGGGATGCGGTGCGATGCGGCTACAATGCAGCCTGATGCGGCGCATATGCGGCCGCATAGGTCAAAAGCGCATATGCAGTCAGTTCTGATGCGGAGCCCACCTCATACTGCATGATGCTGCATATGCAGCGATGCGGCCGCATTTTAAAACACTGGAAGCAACACAATTAACATTGCACAACATCAAAAGTATATTATATTTAAGGAATTGCAAGGAAACAGAGTCCATTGAGATCATCATTGTCTAGTGAAATGATGAATGTCGAAGGAGATTGGGCCCAGCAAGGCATAAAACAAACAGTAGGTTACACTCACTACATTACCATCCATCATTTCATTGGAAGATGATGACACTAAGGATGAAGATTACTGTACAGATAAATACTTTCCCATTGTTGTTAGCTTCAGTTATTTTCGGACTCAAGGCAAGGACTTGCTAGGGTCCCAAGCCATCTCTGAAAAAATAACAAAGACGGTCTGTGACCCAATGAGACGTGGCTTTCAGGGTTCTGAAACAGACACGACACCTTGCTATATTCAAGTGACGCTAGCGAGTCCAAGCCTGAGTCACCAAGTCTTGAATAACCGGATGTTATACCTTCTTAGTTGAGACCGTTGGACTGCCAAAAGCTACAAAACTGTGCAAATCATCCACCTTTGAGTGGATTGTTTCAGGCAGCCTTTTTGTAAAGCTGTCACTCCCTTCTCCAAACTTAAGAGACCTCGAAACATTCTGACGCTTAAAAAGCGCAAGCTCATCCTGTTTCACAAATCGCACTTGATATCTTAACATCATGAATGGATATCATACTTAGTTGTTCAATGAATTTAAAATCATTTATTCAAAGAAAATGATTTACGATCACCTTTAATAATTTTATTTGATGTTGTAATGCTGTTACATCTCCCGAAGCATCCTCATTTACAACAGCCTCACAGATGACAAAACAAATAACAAGATCAGTTGGCATCCTTAGCTCCATGTAAAATCTTAGCACTAAACATCTTCTGCAATTTCAAAACTTGAAAAGACATATTATGGTTTATTAGGGTTACAATTCAATACATTATTCTGAATGAGTTTAGCACGCTGAGCAAACTTGAGCGTGCTGAAAGTCTCATTCGCACAACTGCAAGGCAAAAAAGTATTGATTAAGGTGCTACACTGTTAGAAAATAAAAATAATAACAATAATAATACTACTAATAATAATAATAAGAAGAAGAAGAAGAAGAAGAAGAAGAAATCACCTAAAACATACACCAAAAAAGGCCAGTGAACAGAAAAATTTTAAAAGCAATATTTTTTTAAAAAAAAATCAACATCACAAACCCGATTGACGGGCTGACATTAGCTATAATCATCGTTTTCGAATTGCCACCCAAAGAATCCTGTGACCAAGAACTTTCAGAATTAGTATAACTTTGTGATGTGAAGAAGAAATATTTCTGAGCATCATAAAAATTCATATTCAGTGAAGGCAAAACCTGAAGAAGAAAAGTCAGCCTTGAATCCCTGTAAGGAACATGTCGTTGTTTTCCATGTGCCACGTCAACCAAAGCCATTATAACATGACTGCAGGTACATAAACAAAACTCATTTTGCCAACATGACAACACTAAAGACACCAAAATGTATATTGCAGTCCAAAATGATATTTTACCCATAGTCTATTTGGGCCGGGTTATCACTGTCCAATGAAATGAGGAATGTGATGAAAAGAAAGTGGAACCCACCAGAACAGGACATGCCCCAATGGTAGGTCCCACTCTCCATCCATCACCATCCATAATTTGACCGATTCTCTAATAATGTCTTCCCTAAAGGAAATTACTGATCTTATTCAAATTTGAACAAAACAATAAATACCCCAATGTTGACAAGGATTTATTGATATTAGCAGCTTCCTTGAGGCGCTCTCCTTCGGCCCCCGAAGTCTTTTGCCTGTTTCACATCTTAATTTAGGAATGCAAACTCAACATGTACCTCCAAAGCCTGAATATTGTACAACTAAACTTAATGCTGAAACATGCTACCTCTCAGAACCAGCAAGGTCTACAAGGTTTAGTCTCCCATATCGGTAATTGGTCATAGAATCCTTTTCCCACCGACTCTCAATGACACATGTGAAAACACTATGAGAACGGCTGCTCTCGCGGTTCATGTTTGTTGCTGCAACTTTCCTGTTTGCAGCACCCTAAGAAAAAAATTTCTACGTCATGAATTTTATGAATAGTTGAAGGAAACCAAAATCAAAAACTTGAGATGAAAAGAGAGAATTGAAATTACTCAAGCTAAAAAACTTGAAACTGAGAGAAGAAATATGAAAGGATTGACACAGTCAGCTACCTGAACCAGGAGCTTAAGAACATCATGTACTGTATTGACTTCATATTCTGTGAGATTTTCAACATATACACCTTTAAGCATATCCTCTCGTAGCTGCAAACCATGGCAAAAGCGTCAAAGATAAAATTACGTTGAAAGCAGGACAAGAAGCTTTTCAGAGAAAGGAGACAAGTAAAATACCAGTAAATTTGTTGATGAGGGTTCCAAAAGATCTGTTATTTGTTCGTTGTATATCTCCAAGAAGGAACACTTGCAAGCATACCTCAGCTTCTCATTTTTTCGGCTTTCTTCTTCCTGCATTCCTCAAAAACACGATAAGAAGAAAACCAACTCAACAACCATCTGCTCAGATTTAAGAAAGCAACTGGAATGAGCTTGGTCAGCATATTACCGCTCTTGTCCTTTCAAACAAGAATTCAAAGATACGTGGTGTCATTCCACGATCAGCATTGGACTTGACATCAACCTCATCAATATCGCCCAACATGGTATATGTCTTGCCGCTTCCTGTCTGTGCCAGATAGATCATAAATGGGTGATCAAAAGAGTAACATAATGAAAAGGAGTATAGTATAGTATACTCCAAAACGGCATCCATCCAACAACGCTCCTGATCGACTGTGGAGATTAACCATATCATTGTACATCACAAGGAGTGGAGGATGTAAGCCCTTTGGAGATTTGATACCATACACCATTGTATTATGGTACACCTTCCCAGGGGTAAAACTGTAAAGCCAATGAAAAGTGGCAGGGGTCAAACATAAAGCCATATGAAAGAGCTTACTTGACCATAGGCAAACATGCAACTATTATATCCAGACATGCAGTTCTCCACCATTGGCAGACCCGCAACTCTAAAAAGCATCTCCTGCAAGAAATCATTCAAATGCAACTGAATTCAATTTAAAGACAAGAATTATATTGTTACAATTATTTTTTTCTCTTTTACCCAGTAAAAAAGTAAGAACAAGGCACTTTGAACTGCACCTGATTAATAGTCTCACAGGCTACATGATCAAAAGTGAAACGGGTTTCTGGCTGCCCAATCCAAGTAATAGTCTGAGCACTCTCCTGTCTCAAACATCTGTTAAATCCATGCAAACTCCGCTCCATACTATTGAGGGGGCGGATGCGTATAAGAACCTACACATAATTAACGTAGGAAATGAATCAAGTACGAAGACTCGTCAGAAAAGAAAGAAGGAAAACTTATATGAAAGATGTCTGCCCGATGTACTATTGTGCAAATGGATAGACTTGGAGTAGTTCAATAGAGAAACCATCTTAAACCACAAGACCCGGGCTTGCTGATGTGCAACTAAGAGAATTGCCATTCAGCAACTCACTTTTTATATATTACATTTTGATTATTTATGCCCAATAGCCAGATGATCATACAATAGAAAACAATAAATAGTTTGAACAAGTCCCTCAGTTCACTTGAGTAGAGGTCAAAGAAGACAGCCTTCCCAACACCCCATGGACCGACACCATTTCCTTCCCCAGTTTTCATTCCAAACTCCACATTTGTTTTAATTTACTGGGAAAGCCTAATATCGTCCAATGCACACCATTTGATGGAATTGATGAATAGCGATGGAGGGAGAGTAACACTGGACAGAACCAAAACATAACATCAATGCTGAATCCTACTCAACGTCATTTCATAGGATGGTGATGACCCCAATAGACTAGAATTTTGATATCAATATGCTATGGATTCCAAAGCGCCATTACACTATATTGCATTTCCCCAAATTTAAAATCTCTGAATACTTTTTGCCTAATAGGTGTACCTGTACATTGTGATCCATCCAGAATGATATGTCCTCTCTAAGCTCAAAATGAGGCACCTCAATTGTGTTGATAACAGATGGTGATGGTGAAGACATTGCAATTGAGAGCCCTTTGGACATCAAAGCTGCATTCCCTGCTCGCAACGAGACACCAACAGGAGGACGGTAGCCCACACCCTGGTTAGTGGCCTTAGACCCACTCTTTGCAGGGGTACTTTGGGTAGATCCACTTTCTGAAGAATTACAAGATCCCCACTTTCCAAGAGTTCTAGTTGAGTGTGGGGTCGAAAGGACAGAACTTGCCCCTCTGTTAGATGGAGGCAATTGTGTCAATCCATGGCTACCTTCTATATATCCTGCAGACCCCTGGTTTGAATGCACCTCATCCTTGACCTCATTTCGTTTCTCTAGTGGAGCAGGAGATTTCCTTCCGTTCACCAACTCGTTCTTGCTTGCCCATCCAAACCTGTTTCTTCCTTGAATAGAAGAAACCCCATGTTTGTCTGGTGTAGTAAAAGGTGCATGTGGTTCTAGAGAGCTTTTGGCCTTGTTCTTGGAGGGAGTTCTCTCTATCTTTGTCCGATGGGTCAATTCTTGATCCGATGCAGATTTAGGTAATTGGCAGGTCTCTTGGATTACATTTAAAGGTGGCCTTGATGCCTCTTGTACTAATGAGGAGGGTGAAGGATCTATTGAATTCCCAGGTTTGTTCTCGTCAGACTCTGGCTGAGCATTCTTCCCAGAATTGCGTCGGAAGAATCTAAGTGAAGATACATCACGAAGCATCCTGATACACAGGAAATGTAGATATGAATATCATGAAATAAGGAAATGTAAAAATGAATATCATGAAATAAATTTGTTGGGGAAAATAGCATTATGGAGTTAGATATTTCGAGATAAACACCCAATTAAAAGAGAGAAACTCAGAAAAAGACCTGGAATAGAACGTCCTATATGATGATGAACAAAACGATCTTACAATTGAAATGGTGGTTGGGAACAAATGTATAGAAAAGATAGTATTCGGAGGATTCAGTAGAAAGTCCAAGCGAACGGTCAAAAAAAGACAAAAAATGCAGAGTCAAAGGACTCATACAGGAAACTCAAGGGAAACAATAACTGCGTACAAATAATTCATTCCAGTATTCACTGCCTCACGCAAGAAAACCAAATCAAACATATGGAGCCACAAATTAGAAAGAAATATGAAAGGAACTAAGCAGATACCTTCTATATAAATGCAGTAAAATATTTTCTTTGCAAATATTAAAAACAAAATTTTAAAAATGAAAATATAAAGATGATCAATATAGTAGTGATTGACCAATATCACCCGTATAAGAGCATAATGGAATGCAAATGCAACTCAAACCCTTAAAAACTCGAAAAGAGAAGCGAAAACCAAGATGATTACCTTACCAATCCAAATCAACCCAAAAAACATTGTGAGTCCATGACAGCAATGAAATCTCACATTAGACTCCAATCGATTGAACAAAATACATCCAAAATTAAACTTTGAAATAATCAATTAATTCCAACAATCAATCATAAAAATCACGACTTGATATAAATGCTCATACCTGAAATCTGAGGAATAGAATCAACAACTTGAGATAAATACTCATACCTGAAATCTGAGGAATAGAATCAATAAGATAGAGCCAATGAGTATTTGACAAAAATCTCAGAATGAACACCCTAATCCTCAGATCCACCAGCGATTCTCTCGGAGAGAAATACATAGAGGATCTGAACCCCGGAGCACAAACAAATAAACCTCTGGAGCATGACCATGTTGAAATCAATGTGTGAAAAACCCATGAGTTACTAGGGTTTCTTCTATCCCTAGTGTTTATTTCTAGGTTTTAATGGCGCTCAAAAAAATGGAATTTTCTAGTGTTTTCTTTCTGGCGTTGCTCTCACTGAGTTTCTTCTACACTTGAAGTTTGCATTTAGGAGACTGAGCCATCACTGAGCAGAGGAGAATGGACGGCTGAGATTTGTTGAAGTTTGAAATTTTCGGGCGGCTTAGATTTCGGCGCCCAATATATCCGTTTTCAAATGGCAGGACTGAGATTGGAATTTCCGCGTTTGTTTAAAGAGCAACAGTATAGTTTAGGAGAGCGTACTCTCGCGGGAGCACCTTGTACACTTTATCCCTCTGGAAAGAATACCTTTTAATGCGATTTTTTTATATAAATTTTATGTACATTATTTAATACGCTTTAAAAAAAAATTTGATTTTGAATCTTTAACACTTCCATTTGCTGTCCATAATTTCGATCCTCTCCATCTAATCTCATGTTTTCTTATGAACATTTAGAGTGCTTAAAAAATTCTTTTTTTCTGTTAAATTGATAATTTTTTAAGTCCTCTAAATACTCTGAAATGAGAGTTTTCGCCCGCGGGATTAAATACAGATTATGCTCCTGCAGGGGAGTATACTCGTAATCTTTTGCCATTTTGGTGAAGTAATAATGAGGGATAATTAGCAAAGGAGGTCCACACCAACTCAACGGCATTCTTTGACGTTGGAAAGGAACGTATTTTAAATTTCAAATTTTCGTATAGATTCTCCTTGTTCTAGAATGTATTTACAAAAGTACCCTTTTACTCACGCTTTTCAAAGAATCAAAGCATCAATTAGTATCTAGGTTGGGTTGATCTAAAATAAAAATTATATTAGATTGAATGTCAATTAAAATATGTTTCTAACCGAATTTGGTTGGTTTGATAAACTGGTTTTGACTTACTCAATCGACAAAACTTACTCGAACAATGAAACAAAATTGAACAACTTTTTTACAATATATTTAAATTCATATATTTTTTTAATATTTGTAACATCTAATCTGACCAATTTGGCTGACAGTCAAACTAATTTTGACTAAACAAGACTCTTTACCAATTCAGTGGTCGATCAAATCTTATAACACTAATTAAGAGTTTTTTTTTAAACTCTTCTACAACAGTTCAAAAACTTTCCAAATTTTACTAGGAGCGTAATTAATGGAAGAGAACATCCCTTGTAATGGTTAATGGTTGCATGTCAAGTGTTTGTACTGGCACATTAACATATCCCCTCAAACTATCAATGATGATGGCATCAAAGGCTCTCTCTCTCTCTCTCCCCTCCCCTCCCCTCCATGATTCAATCTTGGCTATCCTACTATTTTGATGCTTTGAGGCATATAGCAAAGACAGTGATAAAGCTTTTGGAGTATATGGATCCTAATATTTTCCATAGAGATTGAGATAATCAAACCAGGGACTTCAAGGTAAAGAAGTTTAAGGCATTCTAGAGAGAGAAAGCAGTAGTTTCATCCCCTCTTCTATACGTAACGTATATGAAATCTATACAATCCGGGGATTGACACGTTTAAATTTTATTTCTTCTTTAATTTCTTCAGTCTTTGTAATCACAACTAGAAGTTGTTTCTTTCTTTTGTGTAAAAATTGAATGCGAATGAAATAACTTATTTATGAGCACTTGTAACTCTTTCCCGAACCCATATTTTACTGAAAAGCTAATCGATTTTTATTTAACAATGAGTGTAATTATCTAGTTTTATTTGATTGGAGCCATATTTTGATTCAAAATCTCTTAAGTACACTTTTAGGCAGGACAGGATGGTTCATATTCCTTGACATTGAACTTGCACATAGACAGTAAATAAGGGAGATGAGTTGAACATCAATCCTTTGTTCAAAAAATAAGAGTTGAACCCCAATCAGATGGGATAATCAAAATGAGTTAGAAGTTTAATCCAAGAGGTCTTGAAGGCACCCTACAAAAAACTAGGGCATTTCAATATTATGGGGTTCCAAAGTCGGAGCCACCAACATGGCACTATTCATAGATAGGTGCCTTAAAAAGTTGGCCGATTTACAAAGCGGCTGCTTACAAACGGTGTCCAAAGCCGAAACTCAGTCAGAGGGTAGATTAGTCCTTACAAACATTTTGCTTTAAATTTCATGGCACGCCAATATCATCTGGTCCCAATTTGAAGGGATTTCTAAACACATGCATTTGGTGACTATTTGGGATATGTCTATCCAATCTCGTGGTCTTTATTACCACTGGTTTTACATGCATATATGGCCATATGTTTCATTAAATCAATAATTTAGTTTTCATATATTCCATCTATGCTCTAGTTAACAATTGATCTATTCGAATATAAAACTGAACTTGTTATAAGATCTTCTTCTATTTGAACATCTACAGGGGCAGGCCTAGGGGCCTAGGGTCATACATCCTAATTTGAGTTACATGCCTACTTTTTCTTGCATAATTAATTCTATTAAGTTCTAGACTTTATGTCCTAAATCCCTTTTCTGTAATACTTAATTTGGAGAGTCTCTTAACCAACTCATCTACAAGTTCTTGGTTGTTCCCTTTCATTTATTACATGCTGAATTTTCATGTTTCTACGGTAGGTGGAGATTTAAATAGCAAAGCTTCCCTAGGTTTTTTTTTCTTTTTCTCTTTCAGGGTATCTTTAAAGCTATTTAGGGTATTTTCCATCCTAGTAGCATGTCTGCCTAAAGTTTGTAGAAAGAGGTTTGTATAATTGTTATGTTCAATGATATGAGGTATGCCATCTAATTTTGCCATTTGGTCATCACTCTCTTTAGGTCCTAATTTAAAGGGTGATGCCTTAGTTTCAATCTTTTCTCCCCTGTGCTACAAAGCAGTTTAAGGAGGATGTATGGCCTCGATGGTTTTACCATCACTAGTATGAAAAGTTAGAAAAGTTGGAGCAGATATTCCCCTTTGCTTGAGGACATACCGAGCCATTTGAAAAACTTAACATTCTTATATTTTAATATGAATCTATTGAAATTTTCATGAAAAGCATTTTGGAGGTTTTCTTTGAATTCTTTAAAAAACCATTCTCTGATTTTTTTTATTTTCATCAGAGTAAAAATCCTTTTTCATCCATTCTTTATCAATCTTAAATTCATCTTGTTTTTTAATAACATAAGTTCCCAACTCAAAGTTTAAGAAAGTAGGCTCCTCTTGCTCAATCTTTTGTTGAGATGAGAAATCAAGAGTATCAACTCTATACATAGGTTGTTGAACCTGATCAGAGGTTTATTTTAAACCATCAAGAACAATCCTTTCATTATAGGATCGTTTGTAATCTGCTTGAGGGACGTATGAGGTAGAGACCCTAGAAGGTTCCCTAGGATGAGGATTAGCTATATTTTGTCTCGTCGTTCTTTATGATAGAAACTATATTTCAATCTCACCATCAGGGTATTCAACAATTTGTTCAAGTTCTATATTTTCAAAAACTTTTGGTTGAGTTTCAAAATGGAGAGGCGACCTTTCTAATAAGGTAATTTGATTCCAGGATACCGTTTTAGGTACACAAGATTAGATTTTTCAACATTGTTTATGAAAAAATACAGTTTCACCTTTAGTAACTATCTACTTAGCATTAGGGCATAAGGTATTAATCACCTTGTAGCATATTTTATAAACAAAAGCAAGGTTTTGGGATCCTGGATCCATATCAAACCTTGGCTTTTAGATTTAAAGTTAAAACCTTTAAAAAGATTTGGGTCCAAAAGGGTCACAAAAAAGTATGGAAAGCAGTTAAAATAAATAGGGCCATTGCATAAACTTGATTCAATAATTCCCAACAGAGAATCAGTGAACCACCTATGTCTGTTATATCTAATATAAAGTAAAATAGAGTTGTTTAACCCGGACCTGATTAAGGGCTTAATTGCCACTTAAACCAATCTAACATGCAGATAATTGAAAGTTTTCCTTTTATGTTCTTCTATCATTCTGTTAGATAGGAGCTGGAAACTATCTTGAGTTTCCATGACATAAATTGTTCTTTCAATTGCCTTAATTGATAAATCACTTTTAAAATAAATTTTTTTTTTTTATAAACATCATGAACTGGGACATTAGGGATGTTTCAGTTTTGTATTTGTTTTTCTATATTATCAATAATTATTTTATATTTATTATTAACACGTAAAACATTACTGCTAAAACTAGAGATGGTAGTAGACGATCTATAAGATAAGGTCTTGAAAAAAATTTCAATTAGATCCAATATCACAACTTAGTTCCTAGTTAACAAGAAACAATCCCTACCCCTTATCACAAATTCCTGGCCTTAGAGGGATTATCTTGTCACTGCGACTCTGAAGCCTTACTGTAGTATTAGTTCTTCAGTTAAATTTCGACAATTAACTACTATTGTTTTGGCTTTGAAACTAGAAAACAACAGTGGTTAACTATCTAAGAAATAAAAAAA